GCCTCGTACGTCCCCACCACGAAACCCACGAAGCCGAAGAGGCTGATGGCGACGTCCTTGGCAATGAGGAGGGGGTGCATGCCTTCGGCGTAGTAGGTGGCGATCTCCAGCAGCGGAGGGAAGATGAGAGCCAGGGCGCTGCTGCTGACGGAGCCCACCAGCGAGATGACGATGTCCAGGCGCGGGATGAGGATCAGCACGCCTGGAGAAGGAGCCAACACGACGTTAGTGCCGCTGCCTCCCGGGTACCAGAGACCTCCCTCCCCCAAGTCCAAGCAAGCCAAAACCCACCGCAGCGATGCCGTGCGCTTGAATCACACCTCTGCCCTTTTCCCTGACACAAGAGCTTTGAAGACGTAGCTGCATGTTTCCAGCAACCCCTCCCCGACAAGCAATTAAGCAATTGAGTTAACGAAGTACAGCACGCAGACCAAACCTTTTCTGTCGCCCCGGGCACGGCCACAGCCAGCTTCAGGGATGGGCGCTCCAGCAAAGAGATGCTGCTGGCAAGAGAGCAGCTGCCAGCACCCCCAGCCCCCCTTGTGAGAGCCAGCACTCCTGCTCCCCACACCTGGGGAGCCGTAAAAAGCCTCAGAAACCCCATAAAAGCAGGAGAAAAAAAAGCCTTCTCCCTCCACCCCGAATAAATCCGTGTGGTTTGCATGCGTTTAGAGCTGCTCCAGCAGCAGAGCGCCTACGGCCCAGCCCGGGGAAGAACGTTTGGGAGGTAAAAACTGCAGCCAAGGAAAATCCCCCTGGAGACTTCTGACAGCTCACACTTAGCAGTTCAAACTCCAGCGTATTCCTGCTCCTCCTCCTGCTGCTCAGGGCCAGGGGAGGATGGAGGGATGGTGCCTTCTCCTTCCAACCAGCCCACAGCCGCCACCACCTCCGAGCTCCCCTTGGGGCACCGCAGTGGTGGCTTTTGGGGAGCAGATTTAATATAAAGCATCACCAAGGTCCTTGGAAGAGGTTTTCCAACCGGGAGCGGTGCCCCTCGGCACGTTCACGCACCAAGCGAGCCCCCCATCCGTGGCAACCTCAGCACTCGAGAGTATCGCTGCTGCTTTTTGGTCAAAGCCTGAGGAAAAGGCAACCAAAGCCCTGTCTGACAGAAGAGCATCCTCTGCAAGCAAAGCCGACTTCAGCGCTTAATCAAAGTGACCAAGAGAAATAAATTGGTTTATTGCTTTGAAAGCTCCTCTCAGACACGGAAGACAGCTAGAACCGTGGCAGCTACAGCCTCGGTGGAGAAGGGACATCTCATATCTCCTTACTGGAGGAATTTGTTCGGTCCCTGGCAATGTTACAGGCAAGAGAGGCTGTTGGAGCCTCCCTGACCCAAAGATCACCCGCAGCACTGCCGGAGATGGAAGTCTTGGGAGACTGACAGCAGGCAAAGACACTAACAGGAGATGCTCCTGCACATGGCCCCCATTCCAGCCCTGCTGGCACCTGGATAAGCCTAGAGACCAACCATCCCCATGGGGACAGCAGCAAAGGTCCCTGCTGAGCTGACCTGGAGGAAGTTTATCCCAGTGCTCAGCCCTACACAGAGCCAAAGGAATGCTCTGTCATTCCAGCAGCATCCCCGGTCCAGCAACCCACAGGGAAAGCAAAGCAGCCGACCAACAGCACCCTCAGCCCACCCCACGCTGTTCTTTGGACTCATAAATCAAACCATGAATCCCCCTCTGGAACACGCAGAGCTGAAGCACCAGCTGCAGTCCTCAGCCTGAAGGGGCAATGGTCCTGCTTTCCACAGGTATTCATTCAGAGGGGGTTTAAGTGGGCTGGTTTTGAAGTCTATGCTTAAAAGACACCCCTACATCCAACTGCATCCTCTCTTTGGAAGCCAAAGCCATGATGTGGGCTTGGTCTGTGGCCACGCAATCATTCCATGAATATTCATGCAACCCCCCTAATTGCTTTTATCCTTGCCAACAGCCACAGCGCTCTCTTGCATGGAAAGATAAGGGGAGGAGGTAAAAAGGAACCAGCATCCTTCCACCAACACCTCTGCAGCCTCCCTACCGCCAAACCGGGAGGGTACAGACACTGCTGGTGCCTAATGCCACCCCTTCCCTCTGCTCCCCTGGCCGGGCACACCCCAATGCCCTCCAGGAGAGGCTCCTATCCCACAAGCAGGCTCTGAGCTCAACCCCCAGCACCGGGGTGGCCGGAGCATATGGTCCAGCACAACAGGATTTCATCCCTGCACCATCCCTCCAGCTGTGGGTGTCACAGAACACGTTTCAGGAGCTTTGCCCTGAAAATTAATGCACCGTTTCTGGTCCATCATTAGTGACAGCCCAGAAACCAGCAGCACCCTGCTCCCAGCCATCCCCATGGCCCTCGAGTTGGCACCATGCTCCTCTCAAGCCCAAAGCGAAGCCGGCTGAAACACAGGGCCAGGTCCCTGATGCTCAGCTGGTGCATCAGCAGCGTCAGGCCACAGAGAAAAGCTCTTTTTCAGCACGTGACGCCTGGGAGCTCAGTCAAGCATCTCAGCTATGCTGACACCAGCAAGGATCTGGTCTTCAGGAATCAACGCCTGCCAAAATCCTGCACCTGATTTGCTCCACACCTTTCCCAAAGGCTCAAGCCCGGCAGCCTGCCCCACCACAGCCTCCCTGCAGGCACCAAACACCACCAAGGGAAAGGGACCGTTTGGGGCTGACCCAGCAGACCTGCCCTGGTGCCCGCAGGCCTTGGATATGGGCCGTGTACCATTGTCAGCTGTCTCCTCCTGTGCTACAGGCTGCAAGGAAAGTGTGAGTACCAGGACACCCGCCCCCTCGCGTCAGTGACCCCTGTGGAGCCATGCCCCCAGCATGCAGGCACGAGGAGTCTGGCTGCATGCTGCCTATGGAAAACAAAGCTCTGAGGGGCTCCCAGCACCCCCAGCCCACGGTGGGAACAGGGGTGCCACGTCCTCGCAGGGGATCTCTTGACAAGCTGGTTTCTACTCACAGGTCACACCAACCAGGGCCACCCTGAGGAGCAGGTTGACCAGCCAGCCCCAGCGTTCCGACACGCGGGCGACAAGGGGCGGGATGATGATCTCGGCGGGCACGTAGAACTGCACGGCGTACGTGAAGAAAATCCCAAAGGAGAAGAGCAGCTTGACGGCTTGGTACAGCCTGGAAATGAGAAGGAGGAGACCCAGTGAGACACGCTCTTGCTCCAGCCCCCACGGCAGCAGAAAGCAGAAGGGGAACACTCTGCCCAAAAGGCCTTTGTGTCCCAATGGTCTCCGCCCCCAGAACACTCTCCTGGAAAATCTCTGTTCAATCCACAGAGACCTTTCTTGAGCAAGAGATAACAAGGAGACAGCACAATCTCCAAGCTGGGGCAACCCACAGCTTATCAGGCTTTAGTCCTGGCTTTGCGAAGGGCAGGAGTTGGGCCAGCAGCCTCTCAGGTGCTGCTTCCTTGGGCACAGATATCAAAATACTGTCCTGATCCTAACTGATTGCAGGGCACATGAAAAGCTGAGGTGTCCTTGGCCAAGGGACCAGGAGCCTGACTCACTCTTGACAATCTGAGGCACCTACCGACATTTCTAGATGCTGACGTGTGTCACCCTGCCCTTGGCTGTAGATGACTCCTCCAGGTACCTCGCTCCCCACAGAGGGATCCAGGCTCCATACCACCCTCTCCACTTGCCCGGGCTGGACTCTGCAAGGCCTGCCTTCATGACTGCCCCCAACACCCAGATGCCTAGTACTGGTACTGCCAGGAGCTTGCAATCCTGACTTTTGGCCAGTGACCCAGAATGAATTTGCATCTATCTCCCATCCCAGAGTTTCCTCACCTGGACCTTTAACAATTAAATCCAGCCTCTGAGCTCAAGCAAGGAAAACAAAAAGCTCCTTTTCAGTTATTTGTAAGCAGCCAGATCATATTCTCCATCTTAAACAGGAGATGAAGAATACCTCCAAAGAGGCTTGTCAGCTGCAGCCATGAATATTTCAGAGATCTGGATTACTGCTGCCTTCTGAGGATGGGGAAGAGGACAGCACTGCTTGCTTACAAAGCCAACGCGACGCAAACGTCACCACCACCACCTGCAACTCAACCTCCTCCATACAACAAAAAAGAGCAGCTATTTTTAGAATGCTGCATAATGCATGTTTGGGGGGAAGGCAGTTAGAAGAAAGGCAGAGCACAGACAAGCTGCAAACAGCACCTTAGGCTCACCCCGTGTCAGCTCTCGTCACATCCCAGATCCTACAGCGACGCAGCAGCAGGGCTGCAGGACAGCCTGTTGCAGGTGGCCAAAAAGCCACCTCCCAGCCCCGTCTCTGTCCTGAGCTCCCCGAGAGCAGAACAAGCCTCTCCAAAAGAGACGTGCTATCTAGTTACATAATTTACGGTCCTACCCGTTTTCCCCAGCTCAAGACATGCTGATGAAGCAGGAAACCTGGGTCCTGGCCATACCACTTGGGAAAACATGAAGTAGATCCAAGCTGAGGAAGGTATCTGGCTCCTCCTGCCTTCTTAGACCCCTTTACCTTCTTTGGGCCCAAGCCAGCTGCTACAACAGTCTCAAAACAGAGAATTCCAAGTATTCCCACGCAAGACAGCTTTGAACAGTAGTGATAGTCTGGTGGAGTCCAACACTTCCCACAGAAGCGGAGGGTGGAGATGGGGATCACCTAAGCGAATGGGACCTACACAAGTCCACGGGACCAGACCAGGTGTATTTGAGGTTGTGGCCAACATCTGCCTGAAGCCACTTCATCCTCTTTAAAAGAGCGGGGTGATCAGGGAGAGGTTCCACTGCCTGGGAAGAAGAATCATATCCACCTTCAAGAAGGATGAGGGAAGCTCCAGGCTAATCAGCCTCATCTCCATCCCCAGAAAAGTATGAGCTAAGTCCTCCTGGCATCCACCTCCAGGCACATACTGGAGAGGGTGAACAGCCAGCAGGGATTTGCCAAGGGCCAGTCATGGAAATACCCTCATTGGTGACCTGGGCGAGCTCTCAGTGACCCAGAGCACGCTCTCAGCAAGTTCACAAGACCACCGAATTGGAGAGAATGGCTGACATGCCTTGGAGCCAGGCCTGAACGACATGGTGGCATGGCAAAGTTCAAATGCCAACACAAAATCCCACACACAGGAAGGGCTGGGGCCTGGCTTTCCAGTTGGCCAGGAGAACAGGACCTGGAAGTCTTGGTGGGCAGCAAACTGAACATGAGCCAGCAGCAGGACCTTGCAGCGATTAAGGTCAACCACATACTGGGCTGTGCTAGCAAAAGCGTGGCCAGCAGGTTAAGGGTAGGGATTACTCCCCTGTTTGGGGCTTGTGAAGCTGCATCTTGAGCATTGTGTCCAGTCTTGGGGCTCCTAGGACCAGACATTGACCTACCTGAGCCAGCTGAGTAGAGGCTATGAAAATCGTTGGGGCTGGAGCACGAGATACAAGGAGAGGCTGAGATGTGGGCTTGTTCAGCATGAAGAAGGTGGTTAAGGGAGGTGTTATTACTACCTTCAGCTACCTGGAGGGCATGGAGAAGATGGAGATAGGCTCTTGGCGGAGTTGCACAGCCGAAGAACCAATGGGAGAGAGCTGCATCCCAGAAGGGCAGTTAAGCACCAGAACAAGGGCCTCAAGACGTGAGGAACCTCCTTCTTTACTGATATTCAAAATTTAAGTTGGCCCTGCTTTGAGCAGGAGGGTGGACCTGATGATTTCATGATGCCCTCTCCAACATAAAGTATCCTGTGATTCCACAGACAAACTACAGACAAAGCTATCAGAGTCCAGAGTGCGCCCACTCAGCCGCACATGACTTGAGAGCACAGCAGCCTTGAGCCACCTACCCCATGGCCTGCCTATCTTATCGCTGTATTTCCAGTTAAGCGATGCTGTAAAGCCATAAAGCGCTCCATGGCAATCCGTGATTAAGAGACGTTATTAAAAAAGGCACAGAATGAGGTTGGGTACCAACCCTGTACAGGTGAGGAACCAGGACAACAAGCTCAAAGGGCATTCCAAATACCAAGGGGAGGAAGAGCTCAAGCACTAGCCTTGACCCACAGAAAGCACGGATCCACGCAGGGCCCTGGAGTGGTGCTGCTCTGCCAACTACAGCCACCTGCTTAACCCCGAGAGCCATGCCAAGCCACCCCAACAACCTGCAAGACACGGCATACCCTCCTTTGACCGTAAGCTCTGTCACTACCCACCTCCAACCCGCCATACGCAACCAAACATCTTCCCCCTCGCTACAGCATTTCTTCATTCCTCAGATGGCAGGGTGAAGCAACCCTTCCGAGGATGTGAGGAGGGATTTCTGCACAGCAGTGCGGTATTTCAGAGGCTGTGGTTAGACCTGGGCACTGGGAACTGACACGTTCCTCATTGGAGGAAGCTGTGGCTATAGAGAAACGAGGCTGGAAAAGTCCTTAGTCATCCCGTAACTCAACGATTCCTGACACGTTCATTGAATCTGCTCTGGAGACCTCTGGGCAATGGCTACAGCCAAGGAAGGATGCAGCACCCCACAACAATCCTCACCTTGTCTCCCACGCTGCAGGCAAAGCCCAGGACTTCTCACCCACAGCCGTTACGACCTGCTTCTGCAGCCCAACACCTTTTGCTGCTGGGGAGAACACCCACAGGCAAAGCCGGATGGGCAAAACACGCATTTCAAGAGCACGTCTTCACCCATCACCTACAGCTAATGCACGGGAATACAGCGGTCAGGGCTTCAGCCCAAGCATCCCAGCCCTCATTTTGGATAACCCATTTCCAGGTCCGATATTTACAGCCTCCTCCGAATGTTCTGCCAGGGAGAAACAGGCACTAACACCGATGCATTGTGCGTGCTGAGTAACAACAACTGCAGCATTCCCTCCCTGGAGGCAGCCCACAGGAGCCCTGCCGCACACCCGGGCTTCCCCAGGTGTAGCTTCCAAAGGGATATTCTCTTCTTTCAGGGAAAAAAACCCTACAGGTTTTCTTCAGAGAAGTACTTTGGCAGAAAGCGTGGATGCTCCTAGAAACATGCATTTGAAGCAGGATTTTTCTGTAGCCGGCAAGTCACAGAAATCCCACAACCCTCTTCTAAGGGAACGTCACCCTTTAGAGCACAGCTGATTTCCAACAGAAGCCCCCGCACAGCGTTACAGCTCAGCAGACATCGTTACGGGCTGTGGCATGATCTGGTGCCCTGCAGAGCCCAAAACCCGGATCTCACCCGCTTTCCACCTTCAGGAGAAGCAGAAGCATTTCACCCTCTCCACACCTCCCTTTAGCTTGCTGAGCGGATGGGATTCATGCCTACTGTGCTTAGCAGGGTGGGATTCAGATCTCCCTACAACACAGGCACGTTTTTCCACCAGCCCCATCCCTCCTCGCTGAAAGCAGGGACATGGCAGAGCTCCCAGACCCTGCAGAGGACAAGACAAGGCTCTCGGCAGGAGCAGGACCCTTCTGCCACACCAACATCCAGCAGTTAGTCACTACACGGATCCAGCGTGCACAGAAGTCTGTGCACTCAAATGGAAGGAAACCCACACAGGAATAATTAAATCACAAACAGGCTCTATTTTTTTAAAATCTTTGCTTTCTCCAGAGCCCCAGCCACAGAGCTCTATAAGGTCAGGGTGTGGAAGCCCACCAGTGACTTGAATTTTGAGTCAAGCCTGAATCACAGAATTATAGAATGGTTTGGGTTGGAAGGGACCTTAAAGCTCATCTAGTTCCAACCCCCCTGCCATGGGCAGGGACACCTTCCACTAGACCAGGTTGCTCCAAGCCTCATCCAGCCTGGCCTTGGACACTTCCAGGGATGGGGCATCCACAGCTTCTCTGGGCAACCTGTCCCAGTGCCTCCCCACCCTCTCTGTGAAGAACTTCTTCCTGATATCCAATCTAAACCTCCCCACTTTCCATTTAAACCCATTACCCCTTGTCCTGTCACTACAGGCCCTCGTAAAAAGTCCCCCCCAGCTTCCTTGTAGCCCCTTCAGGTACTGGAAGGTGCTATAAGGTCTCCCCGGAGCCTTCTCTTCTCCAGCCCGAACCCCCCAACTCTCTCAGCCTGTCCCCATGGCAGAGGGGCTCCAGCCCTCTGAGCATCTTCGTGGCCTCCTCTGGACTCGCTCCAAGGGGTCAATATCCTTCTGATATTGAGGGCTCCACAGCTGGACGCAGCACTCCAGGGGGGGTCTCACCAGAGCAGAGTCCAGGGGCAGAATCCCCTCCCTCGACCTGCTGGGCACTCTGTCAGCAGGGAAAGGGCAGCAAGTCACACTGCTCGGCTGCTGACAGCAGAGAGGACAGGCTGGGGGGGCAGCAGGCACACCCAGCTCCAGTCCTCTCTGGTCTCCTGCAGGATTTCAAGCCAGCAGAGACATCAAAGAGAAACGAACTGCAGAGTGGTCCTCCATGTCATAAGAAGGCACAGAAATGGGGTTTTTTTTCAGGACTTTCTCAAATAATCCCAAGCGGAGCAGGCTGGGAAAGGCATTTGTTTTCAACATTTGCATGCTCCGCACTCCTCGTCCCTAAGGAAAGAGAAGCTGCTTGCATTTCCCCTCTGGGATGCATATGGAGCCGTGAGGCTGAGCAAGCACTCACCCCCGCGATGGGCCAGCACGCAGCCCAGCCAGCTGCTGCAACAGCCACCGGCCCTGGCACGGGGAGAAACAGCCCTCCGGGCAAGCAAGTACAGGGTCAGGCCACGTGCGTTCCCAGAGGGCTCCAGCCAGCAAGCGGAGCATCTCGAGAGGCCTCACCAGATCCCAGAGGAGGACAGACAGGTTTGGGGAGCTGCAGAGCTCAGCCCCCATGGGAAGGAAGGGGGATCCTCATGGAATCGGCACTCGAAACAAGCCACATCCAGGCAAAACACAAAGTCCAGGAGTGGGAGTTCGAGCTCCAGGGCTGCAAACAATGAATACACCCCACATGTGGAGACACCTCACCCCTCTGGGAGCTCCCAGCTCTGGGTTAGTTTTCTGTGGGCTTCACTTGAGGAAGAGAAATGGTTTTGTACTGTTAAACAACCTTCCGATCGATATTGGGTTGTGTTCAACATCTGGCCACAAGCCACAGGGACCGGCAGTCCCCAAAAAAAGCAGCCACAAGGCTCCAAGAAACAGGCAGGAGCAGCACCCGCCCAGGCAGGGACGACTGGGGACCCTGCGAGCCTCTCCACCCTGCAAAGACAACCCTCGACAAGCTCCTTCGGACCACCTGGTTTACAGCACGGGTGATCCTTCCCCAAGCTCACCCAGGTTAGTTCTCACAGGAAGAACGTCCCCCTCTTGCCCCCTCTCCTGCCTCCCCAGCTGGGACCCTGCTCACCCCCCAGGACTCACCAGCAGTTGGGCAGGTTGAGGGTTATGCTGGCCTGAATGCCCGCCCCAAAGCGCAGGTACCCCAGGACGCTCAGGCTGATGTACAGGATGGTGACAATGGTCATCCCCACATAGAGGATGACCGGGAACTGACGGGGGTTCTTCATCTTGTTTTCCAGAGGCAGCACCTGGGAGAGGAGGAGGAGGAGGGTGAGGACAGAGCAGCAGGTTGTCCCCATTCCTCTACACCCCTCAGTCCCAGAAAGCAGGAGGGGCAGCCTCATGGCTGAGCACAGCCCTCCATGCCAGGGAAAGGGATGGTCGCCCACAGAGCGCTGAAAAAGACCCGTACCGGAGATCCGACTTCTGACACCTTCACGCCTGGCACGGCAAGTCTCCGTCAGGTCACTCCTGCCCTTGCCTTAGCGAAGGGACCTGATCCCTGCCCTCGGCAGGAGCTGTGCCCACTGGTGCCGTAAGGTAGGGGGTGATGCCACCCGTCCCCTACCTTAACTGCATTACACTCTGCACCCCAAAACCGCACAGCCATGTCTGCTGGGAGAGGCCCATCACACGGTACACGGTCTGACTTTACCCAGCAGACCCTGGAAAGGCCAAGACACTCTCCTACCAAATCTGTCCAGACAGATTTCAACCGGGCAGGACAATAAAAGGAAGGACAGAAGCAAGTCCCTCACCTCTCTACTACTAACACTGGCTTTCAGATACAGGACGTCAGCAGACATTTTTAGAGCTGCCCTTGGGCGGTGGGGATTTCAAGAAGAAACACAGTGACAGAGCTGGTGAAAAGGCAGGACCAGAAAAGCCTTTATTTGCTTCTCCACCTCCAAGTCATGCAAGGAGGAGAGCATTTGTGCCTCACTGCCGGCAAGAGCCCTCTGCCCCAGGCACAGCATTCACTACACACTCCTCCTGTAACGGATTTGGCCCTCTCCAGCCCTGTGTTTACACAGCCAGCTTGTATTAAGAGATGAAAACATTTTTTCCTCCTTTAAAGGAAGCTCCCGGAAACAACCCACAGCATCTCACGGAGCCATTAAGCTCTCCACCCACCCACCCAGCTTTTTTTTCCAGACACAGTGGTCTATTTACAGCATCTGGTATGAGAGGCACATGCAAATCCAGCCCCCCAGCAGGCTGGGGCCACACGGCTGCCAAAGGGAGGTCTCGGTGCCTCCGCAGCAGGGTGGGAAGCAACGGATCACATTGTTTTGTGTCCCAATTTTTGACCTCCCAGCTAGGCAGCTTCAGCATCCAGCCTGGTAACAAGACTCGGGATGACTCCCCGTCTGTGGGTCAGCCACCAGAGCCAAAGGCAGCTGCCAGCGCAATTCCCAGCAGAGCCCAACCTACTGCCTGATACAGCCACCTTCCAAGCAGCAACCAACCTCCGGAGGTTTGGAGCATGTGCTCCTCCAGCCTCAGATGGAAGCAACAGGGTTTGACCCAGGAAATAGCCTGGAGGCTAAAGCTAACAGCATCATCCAGCATTTGGGCTGCCGGCAGAGCTCATCTGCAAATGCAGCTGCAACGCGGAGCAGGCGCTGCGGCAAGCCCGAGCACGGCCTGAGCCTCCCATGCCAGCAGCCCCCCGCTGCCGCACGCCGGCACTTACCACCCCGATGCCTTCAAAAGCAAAGATCGCCGTGCCAAAAAACAGAGGGTAGGTCTTCCAGGCTGCTGCTAGAGGCAGGTGACTGGGATCAGGAATGTCCTGGAAAAAAGCCCACGCAGTGTTCAGACACGGGGAGGATGGGAAGGACCTGACCTGCTCCCTGTTGCAGCCCCACAGTGCAGGGAATGCCCTACGGAGTGGAGGGTGACCACCATGCCCATGGAAGTGAGCAGCACCCCATGGCGTGTGAACACCCCACTATGGAGCTCCCTCCACCTGCCAAAACACGAGACGTGACAGAAATGAGAGAGGGGGAGCCCTGTGCACGCACCTGCACGATGTACTGGTAGATCACGATGAGGCTGCCAAGCATGGCCACGTTGGCCAGCATGGAGAAGATGGACAGGACTTTGAGATTCTGGATGAAGGAGAGCAGCACCACAAAAGGCAGGAGGGAAAGCATGTAGAGCCGGGAGTCCATGGTGGGGGTCATGGCCACCGTCCTGTTCGAGTTGCAGTCATTGGTGGTCCCGTTTGCTGCAGAGATGACCTGGGGAAGCACAGCAAGGCTTGATGAACCCCATGGTGCAGGTCTGAGAGCCATGGACCTCGGCAGCCCACCCCAGGAGGGTCAGAACACTATCCTATCAGCTCATTTGCAAACACAGCTAGTCAATTAAAATCAAAGCAACACGGATTTTCAAGCAGTTTTAAATCCGTGTTACCTTGCCAGGAGCAGAGGTGGGAATAGCTACGGCATCCAAACCGAATCAGCAAAACCCACCCCAGCCCAGGCTCACTGAGCACGTGAACATGGCAGAGGCTGCTTCATGCTGCCCACAGGGTCAGTGGAGAAGAGACAAAAGAGGCATCAAGTGATGTGTCCTCAAAGGTCCTTTTTCTCATGCTGCACCACACAACATCACACCCCCGTTCAGTCACCCGGTGCCCTGCTCCTGTGCAGACATCTGGAAGCTACTGCTGGCTACTTTGCTTTCTTCATGGGAAATCACCCTTTCTTTGGGGTCTTGTGTTCCAAAGGCACTGCAGGCACACAGGGACGGCTCCAGCGCCTGGGCACGCAGAGCAAGTCCCAGGGACTCTCAAAGAAGCCTGCCCCGTTTGAACGGGAAAAACGATCCTCTACTTTCCTGAGCAGCATCAGCTATGGATACCAGACCTTTGGTGGGGAACAGGGCTGTGACAGAGGAGCCAAGAACAACCCAAGAGCCTCCACACCCCCTCTCGCCTTCCCCTTGCTCATGAAGGAGGGAGGAAGTCTGACCTGTTTCAGGTTGTCAGCCAGAAAGACAAAGTACACGCAGCAGAAGCCCAGCTGAGTGATGATCAGGAAAAGTCCCACCACACGCCTAGAAAAGAAAAAAGACTGTTTGTTAGCCAGGCCACACAGAAATAAGAGCCTACTTGGGCTGCCCGGGGCTGCACTCGACCACGGCAGCGATGCTGCTCTCCCCAGGGGCAGAGGGGTGCAGGTCAGAGCACACCCAGCCCGCTTCTCCTCGGTCATCCAGACAGAGATCACCCAACCTCGCAGACCACAGGCTCTCCGGTCTCCCCCTCCCACCCCCTCCACAGGGTCAGGACCAGCCTCAGGAGGAAAGTCTCCTCCTTGGGTTTAGCATCTCCCATCTGTGCTCCCCGGACACAGAAATAGGTGGATGTTCCCAGCATCTGATGTGCAGTGGTCTGTGCGACATCCACCGGGATGGTATCATCCCTGGGAGCAGCAATGAGATCTGCTCAGTGTCTGAGACGGGCCAGCACTGCAGTACGTGTTATCTACTCCTTTGTTACACCGTGGAGACATACTTCTCCCACTCCTTTAGTATAAGCTGCATCTGGCTGGGGACAGGACTGGATCAAAGACCCCAGCATCACCCCCTGTGTGCGCGCTCAGGGTAGATGAGGCAAATAACATTTTAGGTCACTCATGCGCTGACAGAGCTCGGAGAGCAGCTGGCTCTTCCGTCCCAGCTGCAGCACGTGCTGGGCTTGGAGACAAGTCCCCTGCTCCACAGGTACCTTCCCCAGACGGCATGTGTCCGCAGCCACGCGCTGGGAGTTGACTCCAGCCCGTACATCACGGCACCCCCGTAGTCCACAAACTGCTTCTGGAACCTGTCCAGAGAAAAAAAGAGAGAAGGGACGTCACATCAGCCCCGTCTGCTGGTTTCCAAGGCAAACGATGACATTAATGGAATAACAGTTCCTGTGATAAAGCCCAGAAGCAGGCTTGAACACGGGCATCCTGCTGCTGGGAGGCTTCAGGAAAAGCCCAGGGCTCGTTGGGAAGGAAGGACGAGCCAATGGAGCAGCAGTGCCGAGAAGGGGGGTTGCTCCTTACCTGTGGCAGAAGTGATGGGCACATTTCACCAGGATGCCCATGCAGTGTACAGCCACGATTCCCATCACCAGCAGGCTCAGAGGACCCAGCTGCAGGGGAAGAGAGGGAAAGGCTGCACTCTGATGGCCAGAGGCAGAGCTGCACCATGGGGTTTATTCCCGACCAAAACTCCACGGGCTGGGTGAGCCCAAACACGGCTGGAGGCTGAACCAGAGGTCGGGTGCTGCTCCCAGGAACCAGCCCTCTCAAGGACCCAGCAACCCCACAGAGAGCCACGAGCTTGGCAGGAACAAGGCAAAAGAAGCAAGGTGCGGCGCTGCGGGCGTAGAAAGGCACTTCCAGGACTGTTTTTCAGATTATCTTGCACATCACTATTATACAGGTGACAAAGAGGTCATGGTCTGGACAAAAGAAGGAAGTTTCCTTTTCTGATCGTTCCCATTTCGCAATCCGAGCGTCAGGAATGCTGCATCGCTGAGCGAGGAAAGCCAGAGCAGGGCAGCGAGGTGCCCCCAGCTCTCTCACAGATGGCAGTTGCTGGGGTAGAGAATCTTTTAGGTTAGAAAAGACCTTTAAGATCATCAAAAGTCCAACCATTAACCCAACACCACCAAGTCCATCGCTAAACCATGTCCTTCATCGCCCCATCCATACATCTCAAATCCCTCCTGGGATGGTGATTCCACTGCCTCCCTGGGCAGCCCGTTCCAACGCCCGACAGCCCTTTCTGTGATGAAATTTTCCCTAATATCCACCTAAACCTCCCCTGGCACAACTGAGGCCGTTTCCTCTTGTCCTTTGTCACTTGGGAGAAGAGGCCAACCCCCACCTCTCTGCACCCTCCTTTCAGGTAGTTATAGGGAATGATAAGGTCCCCCCCGGCCCTGCTCTTCTCCAGGCTGAACATCCCCAGTTCCCTCAGCCGCTCCTCACAGGAATTGTGCTCCAG